TGACGATAGTCAACGCTGCTAACCTGTGACGATAGACAACGCTGCTAATCTGTGACGATAGTCAACGCTGCTAACCTGTGACGATAGTCAATGCTGCTAATCTGTGATGATAGTCTACACTGCTAACCTGTGATGATAGTCAACGCTACTAACTTGTGATGATAGTCTACTCAGATGCTAACCAGAAACGTCTAACCTGTAATTATATCCGGTCACAGTAGTTAAGTTCAAATTAGTAATTTTAATGTCATTAGTCATTTTGCTGAGACAAATTTAGGCATGTGAATTGAGTTAATACAAACAATACTGAGTAAGGGAATGAGTTTGTTGTGATGTATTTTTTACTGAAAATAGTTTTCTGTTTATTGTTAATTACAGAATTGAATGATTGATCAATAAAAGGTCTCTCGTACATTAAAACCGGGTGTAATTTTATGCGTTCTTGTCCAGTCGGTCTCACCATAGATGTTACATTTTAAACATCACGGCTACGAAGCGCAATTAAGAACGTATACCACAAAAATCCAACGAAAACACATAAATGTATAATAAATGCAGACACTACTTCGCCCCACTGATGCACTACAATAGTAGTTGTATAAATACAAAGGACTCTATCGTGTCTAGGAATGTGTTCAACCAGCCATTTCTAAAATTTCAAACTTTTACACCAAGCCAATGTCTTACTAATATGCATCATCTTCGCTAGCCAAGGTATAAGTTTATTCAGCCAAGCCTCTAAACAGACCTTGGCAGAACGACCATCAAATATGTGTATTCTAACAGCGCCTCCAGTAGTCAGTTTCGGCTAATCATTGTCCAATCAGTTTGCGTGTTACAAATCCCTATTTGGCATTTCATTTTAAACAAAATGGCGGCGCCCATGAATGTGATATTTGTGATGATGAAATTGCGAAAGTTTTCGGTGTAGTTGCCCTCTCGCCTCATCAGGTACAGGCAATTGACGCAGTTTTGTTTGGGAAGGATGTCTTCATAGCGACAAAAACAGGAAGTGGAACTTTGTGTTATAATTTGGTACGTCCAAGCTGATTGGGCGCCTTGTTTCGAGGCGCGCCCAATCAGATGTCACTGCTTAGGAAACGCAATTAGCCTATGCGATCCCGCACGGTATCGTGTAGAGG